AATAAAGTGGTCGGGGCGGAAGGGGCTGTGCGACGCCGAAGGGCACTGGGCAGCTGGGGAGGGGGGGGGAGGGCGACGACGCCGAAATAAAGTGGTCGGGGCGGACCAGCAGCGGCGCCAGCACCAGCACCAGCACCAGCACCAGCACCAGCAGCACCAGCAGCGGCACCAGCACCAGCACCAGCACCAGCACCAGCACCAGCACTGGGCAGCTGGGGAGGGGGGGGGGGCGACGACGCCGAAATAAAGTGGTCGGAGCTCTAGACACCCTGTGCAGGAGAATATTCGGGGTTTTACGTTGGGCCTGGGAGGGGCGCCAAGTCGTGGAGCGGCGTTTTCAGGAAGATGGAAGAGCGGGCTTCGGTCTGGAGAGGCGTCGGGGCCAGCGTGATGCGCGCCGTGGAGGCGCGCCGGGTCTTCATTGCTTCGATGGCCGCCGTCGCAGCGCAGTTGGGCCCCTCCCCGACGCGTTCGCTGATGTGGAGAGGGGGACTGTTCAGGAGCTACTCCCAGGACCTATGAACTGGCCCCCGCCCGACATCCTCAAGTCGTTGAGCTCTGTCGTTTTTTCTCGCGACTTGGTTGACATCAGCGGCGTCGCTGGCATTGCCAGAGTTCGCGTGGCGGGTCGCGCGGCTCATCGCTCTGGAGGTCTGCGCGTTTTGCCGCGCGCGGCGGCCCTGCGGGCCGCCGTGCAGGCAGCTGACAGCGCCGCCCGCCTGGGGTGGCAGCATGATTGGGCTGCCTCGTCTTTCCCCTTTTCCCTCGAGTCCGCGCTGCTGGCGTTCGCTGCCAGAGGGGCGACCGCCCAGGCCTTCCTCGACCCGTCATTCGAAGCGGGGCGCCGGGAGGGTTGGCAGGCTCGCGCCCGCGTGGTGGCGCCTATATTCTGCGCTGCGGCGATGGGGCGCGCGCTTCGGCGCCGCCTCGACCATTGGCAGCTCGATGTTATTCCTGGCCGCCGGTGCCGCAATATACGATTCAATATGCAGAGTATCCAGCTGTTTGCCCCCCCGCGGGTGCTCTGAGTGGTCTTGCGTTCGAGCCTGAACGGGTGGATGACGGCCCGCGGGTTTCAAGGCGCTGGGCGATGCGTCATGGGGTGCGGCCGAGCCGTCCACTCGCTGCTGCGCCACTGCCATTGTCCTGTGTACCGCTGACACTGCTGGCAGCATCTGCGCTTGGAGAGACCTGAGGCTGCCGCGGCCTTGAGCGATTTCCTCCTCATCTCCCCCCCCTCTCGACAGTGGCGCGTCGATGGCCCCCCGCAGGGTGGCCATGCCGCCGCCGCTCTGCGGGCCCTCGGCGCGCTTGCCTCGCGCAGCGCGCGGCGCGGTGCGGCGCGGGGGCGACGGGGGGCGTAGTGCTTAGCTTTTCCGCGGTTTTCTGCGAAAAGGAGCCGGGGCCGTGGGCCCGCGGCTGCAGTTCCGTCTGCGGTGCATAAACGCCGGCGTCGAGAACTGCATTTCCTTATTGTCTTCCTCGCATGTTTTTTTCGTATGTGCTTCCTCTTCCTCGAGTTGCACCGTGTCTGCGGCTTGTGGTGTATTGTGATATCTAGGGCACCTGGCGTTCACTGCTACCTGGCGGGCTTCGCGCGCGCATGTCGAAATCGTTCGAACGCCCTTGCGCGCGTGCTGTCGCAAGAATCCTTTGCAACAGCTGGGGCGAACTGCGCGCGCGCGTCATCGCGCGCGCGTGCCGGAATCTTTCGAGAACCTGCTGTTCCGTAGGAATTCACAGTGCATCGACTGCCCCGGATACATAGAACAACATATGGTGTCGCAGCATCGTACATATATATATACATATAGATATAACCTGCGCTCGCGCTCTTGCGATCTTTTTTGGATACCATATGTTTTTTTTTTTTCCCCAGATGTTCATGAACATCTGCCATACGGGCCTTTCGCGCCGCATGTCGGAATCATTCGAACGCCCTTGCGCGCGCGTTGGGGCGGCACGATCCGTGTCAAAAAAATCCATGCGGGCCATTCTCGCGCGTCGGCCGCGCGCGCATGTCGAACTCCTTCCGAAACCATCATCACCGACGCGAGGACGCCGTCATCGTCGTCGGTGTGGTGAGCACCAGCGCCGTCAGTGGCCGTGCCGTCGTCGTTGTCAACGTCGTTGCCAGCATCGCTACTAACATCATCGTGTCTACCGTTGTTGACGTTGCCATGATACCGCGTTCGCCCACATCGCCGACTCGCACTGAAATGCCCGCTGGAATGTGCCCAGCGGTCAGCGCCACCGCGGACGCGTCAGGCGCGCCAAACTAGCTGGCCGCTGCGCACGCGAGCATGCGCGGGTTAACGCGGCCGCAGGGACGTACCAGCCAACGCCAAGCACTCATCGCAATTGCCTCCGCATGGGTCTTGCATGCCAAGTTGCGGGTGGGTGGGTGGGATGATGTCGCGAGCAGTGGGGTTGACAACTCACTGCGATCGGTGGTGAATTGCGCCACGTATATTGCATCACATACGTTGCGCCACATAGTTTGCACCACAAATAGGCACCGCAGAGATTGCATGACATAGTTCGCACCCCAGATATCGGACCACATAGTTTGCACCACGTAGCGTGCACGACATACATTGCGCCACATAGATGAGCACAATCGCTCCACATACGTTGCACCACGTAGTTTGCAACACACACACACACACACACACACGCATCTATACATATATATATATATACACACATACATACATGCATTCATTTCGCACTGCGCATATTGCACCACTTGGACACATAGCTCGCACCACATAGATTACACCACATGGATTCTCCTTTCTAGAAACAGAATAGACTCGACCCCCCCCGGCGTTATCGGCCCCCCTTTCGGGTATGTAAATCATATATGATTGTGGCCACATGTCCATCCGAATATCGATTCGCGCTTTCCCAGTGGGACCGGTATCGCCCCCCCTGAGGTTCCCGGGTAAAAAAACAATGCGCGGGGTCATCTTTTGTTCTAGCACCAGTTTTTTTCCACGAGTCCCTTGCAAAAAGCGGGACGAAGTGCGCACGCGCGCGTCGTCGCGCGCGCATGCCGAAATCCTTCGAAAACTTTCGGTGTCGGAAGGATTCCGCAATCGAGCTTCCAAAAAACATACCAACACACAGGGTTTCGCAACACTGCTTTGCTAAAAAAGCTTACGCGCGAGCTCTTGCGAAATCTTAAGAAAACCATTGGTTTTTCAATCTTTTCACAACTTGCTACCAAACGGGCTTCGCGCGCGCGCATGTCGAAATCAGTCGAACGCCCTTGCGCGTGTGCCGTCGCGAGAATCCTCTGCAGAAAATGGGACGAAGTGCAGACGCGCGCGTCGTCGCGCGCGTATGCCGAAGTCCTTCAAAACCCATCGGTTTCGGAAGGATTTCAAAATCGTGTGTCCAAAAAACCTACAATAGCACAAGGTTTCGCAACACGGATTTTCAACACAAGCGTGCGCGCGCGCTCTTGCGTCGTCGTCGTCGTCGTCGCCGTCCTCTCTCCTCCCGCGTCGTCGTCGTCGTCGCCTACGTCGTCCTCTGTCTTTCCTCGTGTTCGTCGTCGTCGTTCTCTTATGCGTCGTGGTCGTTTCCGTCGTCGTTGTCGCCGTGGTCGTCCTTCCTCCTCCTCCCTCGTAGTCGTCGTTGTTCGTCGTCGGCGTCTCGTCGTCGTCCCCCCTATTTCGTCGCCGTCGTCGTCGTCGTCGTTGTCGTCGTCGTCGTCTTCCCTCCTCCCTCGTCGTTGTCGTCGTTGGCGTCGCCGTCCTTCCTCCTTCTTCGTCGTTCGCGTCGTCGCCGTCCTCCCTCCTCCCTCGTCGTTGTCGTCGTTGTCGTCGTTGTCGCCGTCGTCGTCCTCCCTCATCCCTCGTCGTCGTCTTCGTTGGCGACGTCGTCGTCGTCTTCGTCGTCGTCTTCGTTGGCGACCTCGTCGTCGTCTTCGTCGTCGTCGTCGGCGTCGGCGTCGTCGTCGTCTTCGTCGTCGTCGACGTCGGCGTCGTCGTCGTCGCCGCCGTCGTCGTCGTCGGTGTCGTCGTAGTCGTTGTCGTCGGCGTCGTTGACGTCGTCGTCGTCGTCGTCGTCGTCGTCGTCGTCGGTGTCGGCAGGTTCGCGCCGTGTGGCTGCGGCGGCGACAGCGCGGATGTTCGAGGCTGGACGCCGCTGGTGGCCCAGTGCCGGCCGATACGGAGTGATTTGTGCTATCAGAAACCGCGATCTTGCGGTTGATTTGTGATTTGGTTGAATGATCCATGCGGTTTGGTTGATTGATCCATGCTGTTGAATGATCCGATACGGAGTGATTTGTGATTTGGTTGAGTGATCCATGCGGTGTCAGGAGGCGGCGCGCAAGTCGCCACGACACGAAGCCACCGTAGCCCAGGCTGCCACGCGTGCCCGTTCGAGCATCGACAGCTATGAACTGAACCCGATCCTGGCCAGGCCCATCTTTGGCCCAAGATCGGCGCATACGTCGCCCTGGCCGGCCCAGGAATGCGTCTACACACCGATCCTGGGCCTAGCGCTCGGTGCAGGTGCAATAGTTGGCGTCCTCCTGCGCGGCCACCCTGCCCGAAACCTCAGCCGCTGCCCCTTCCGGCGGTGGTGCCTGCGCGGGCCGCCCGGGGGCGGTGGTCGCCCCCGATGGCGGCACATTTGTCCTGCACCGCTACTTGTCCGCCGAGTGCCCGAAATTCGCTGCCCCTCGGCCCGAGGCCGCCCCCCGGCCCTCGCGCGCAACAGCGACGGCTGGCGGCCACCACGCCCGCCTGCCCGTGCCAGTGCAGGTGCACAGTGCGTAGCTAGACCGATCCGACGCCAACCGTAAACCGAAAGCTGCACCCATCTCCCCCCCAGTTCCTCCATCGCCCAGGGGAGGGGTCTTATAGGCCGTGCGCAGCTGAAGCATAGGTGCGCAGTTGGCGTCGTCCTGCGTAGCCACCTTGTCCGAAGCCGCCTCCAGCCCGCGCGCGCACCGGCGCTGGTGGGCGCGGGCCAGCGGCCGCCCCTCGGGCGCCGCCCTCCGCCGCGGCGCCGATGTGCCGGCGGGGCGCCACGGCCGCCGCCCGCGCGGCGGCACGGCGCTCATAGGCGGCGAGGCTGGCGGCGGTCTGGGCGTCGGCAGACCGAGCGGGCCGGCGCGACCAGGGCGAGGCGCCCCCCGCAGGGCGCGGCCGCGGCGGCGGCCGCAGTGGTCGCTGCCTCCTGCCTCGGCGGAGCGATGTCGCGCGAGGGCTCCCGCTGGCGCAGCGACTCGAGGGACGGCCGCCGCGGCGGCGTGGCGTGGCCGGAGCGGGGCGGTGAGAGAGCCCGCCGCGGCTCCGGCAGCCGCTCGCGCGAGGGTGGCCGCCGCGAGGTCGGACGCAGCGGCGACCGCCGCGGCGACCGCCACAGCAGCTCCGCCCGCCGCGGCGGCCGCTGCGAAGACGACCGCGGCGACGGCCGCCGCGGCGACGGCCACGGCGCGAGCTCGGCGCGGGGCGAGGCGCGCCCGGCGCCGCCCGAGCGCCGCAGGCCGAGGGCCTTCTCGCGGTCGAGGGAGATGGGCGGGCCAGCGTCCCCAGAGCGCCCGGCGGGCGGAGGGGGCCCGCCGCGCAGGCCCGACGGTGCCCGCGGGCACCCCGGGCAGTCTCCGCCCTGCGGCAGGGGCGGCGAGGCGGGGGCCGAGGCGAGGCGCGCGCCGCGGTCCAGGGGCCGGAGCCCGGGCAGCTCGAGCCCCCGGCGCAGCCCGCCGAGCAGGCCCGACGAGCCTCGCGAGCAGCTCCGGCGTCCTCCGCGCGGGGCGGCCCCCGAGGCGAGGCGCGCGCCGCGGGCCGCTGGCAGGAGTCAGGACAGCTCGAGCTCCCGGCGCAGCCCGCCCCGGAAGATGGCCAGGGTCTCGGCCTTCGATCAGGCGGTGGCGGCGCCCGAGGATCGGGTTGGACATTGCGGGAAGGGGATTGGGGGACGGGAGGGGGTGTGCGACGTCTGTTGTATGTGCATCTGGTTTCGGCCCCTCCGCTGGGCGCCCTTCCTCGATACACTGCCACCTCCCGGCGGCGGTGCAGGGAGGCGCCGGGAGAACCAGCTGCGTGAGCTGACTCGCCAACCCTCCCTCACTACCCCCACTTACGTCCGACCCGACAGGAGCTCACCGCTCTTCAGAAACTGGCGGTGTTGACAGAGGAGAATCCAGCAGTGGCCCTGGCGCTGCCCTCCGTCCCCATTGCTGGGGGGCTAGCGGCGGCCAGCGCGGTCGCCGCAGCTGGCACGGGGACACCGGCACTACCCGATGCTCTGGCGGTGCCTGCTGCCGCAATGCAGGCCGCCGTCCAGCAACAGGCCTACCCACATAACGCGGAGCTCGAGGCTTTCTTGGTCCGCCACCCACTGGAGGCGCACGCGGTGACGAGGTTGCGATCGATGCCCCCCGAGCAGGTCCATATGGTAATCAGCATGTCCCTGCAGGGCGCCAGGAACGCGACCGCCGTGATATGTGGCAGGATATCCAATATCGATAAGT